AGGAGACGACGGATCTTGGGGAGGAGACGACTTATTTTACTTCCTCCTCCGGGAGGAGGAAGATTGTTGTTGCTTATCCTTTCTAGTCATCCTTGTGATCGTCGAACCTAAAAGAAGAAGTGCCTAGTTTGAAGGAAGAAATAAGGAGTCTGGGAACGTAAGGGATAAAGGGGAAATTGAGAGGTCGAGCGCGATCTAAACCAAGCAGGTAATCAGGAGCAGCGCCAACAACTTTGTTTTTAATGAATCGGAACCAGGGACCCAGTCCTCAATCAGTGAGCTTCAGTAAGGACAGTGTTTCAACATCAGCAGGAGCGAGCGAATCGGAGAAAGTAAGAAAAAAGGACGAGGTAGAGTCGTCAAAGAGGGAGGTGGACGCAGGTCTGGTAAGGTTTCTGCCAAGTATAGAAGTTCGCTGATAATCCAGTTAGCTGACGTTTTGATTGGCACGTGAGCCACGCAGAGGGAAAAACAGAAGAAATCGGTGGAGATGTCGTCTTCTACTTCTTCCTTGAAGGCGCTGAGTTTTTTCTTGATCTGGCGAAGTTAAACTAATGAAAGATCTTCGAATCTGGTTTCCCTCGTGAAGAGTAGGTTGAGAAGTAGAGGACCGAAGGTGGCGTGTGACATGATCTCGACTGGAGTTTGTCGCTTGATGATGAAGAATGATTTCCTGCCGTTTTGAAAGGAGAAAAATAGCGACTGAAGCTGCAAAATGTTGCAACTGCTGAACAAAAGGTATTCCTTCGTATCTTAGCTGAATGAGCTGCTGGCGAAGCAGACAGAAAGATTTGGGGGGTAGAAAAGGGGGAATGAAGAGGTGAGAGGAAAACAAGTTGATGATGGGAGATCTATTACGAAGATTTTTTCAAAATCTGGAATGGTGGTAATAGGTGGAGCGAGGATGCCGATAGCTGAAGCAGTGATGAAGTCACGATATTGGTTGACCAGGGAATGGATGGATGGTGATTCGGGTGACTTTCGACGAAGTTGAGGAGGGAAGTAGGAGTGGAGTAGAGGGTGGAAGAAATCATCGTTTTTACCAGGTAGAGAATGGTAAGATTAGGATTGGTTGGGAGGGAGATTAGACCAGGACTTGGAGGAGTCGACCTAGAGTTGACTGAGGAAGGCAAAAGAGGAAGGGAGATGTTGTCGGCACTCCGATTCGATGACAGGGTCGTGGTGAGATGTTCCTTACCGGACTAGTTAACAAGACGACCAACGGACAATAACGAAAATGACAGAGCACTCCTAAATGGACCTCAACGACAAACCACTTGACTTGGTTGACAGCGACTGTCTGACGACGCAAGAGCAGCGGGAGATGAGAAAGTGTAGAGTAGGACAGCTTCCCCTAAGGCTGTTGCAGATGCACAGCGGACGTCCGCAACCCTTCGCCAAAATCAAGCGAGAGGAATAACTCGGCCTTTGTACAATCTTTGTTGTCTTGTGTGACCTCGCAAGTTCACATATGCGATGAGCGCTACGACAGGTCGAGCTCCTGAGGTCGCTGCTCGAGAGGAGAGACAAGTTGTTGTGGTCGGGCAGGGGCAGGTCTCATATACTGTGGCCAGCCAGGGAAGTGGGAGCGGTCAGAGCGTGAAAGCAGTCCTTCAACCTGGGTAAATATCAGTCGCGATTCTCAATCGTTTTCAGCCTTTGATAATAAGAAAATTATTTATCACCGTAGATGTGGAGAGCAATATGAAGAGTCCATAGTTCGTCGTTGATGATGCTGCGAATCTATGGCCATGGGGAAAGTATCGAACTGGTAGTCCCGAGTTCAGTCCCGATCGAGTGGCGTATGGGATTCAACCACTGACAACCATTTCAAGTGGCGCAGGCCGTAGAAGTAGGGACCAGTCAGCGTCAGTTAACTAGGACGGTTGCAACGTACAAACGGGCGGACAAAACAAACGATAAAGAACGACACCCTCCCCCCCAAAAAAAAAAAAACAGAGACGACCTCTGGTCGGACCTCGGGAGTGTAGTTGCACTAACATTGATGTGTTAGCTACTGGTCGTGGGGAGGAGACGCTTGGGGCCCCTGCCGTTCAGGCCCGGGCCTGAAACGTCATCGCCCCCGGCTCAGTCTGACCAGACAAATGGTCTCTCTCAGTAATTCCTAAGCAACTACAAGTTACGGGCGCGAACTAAGAGAGGGATACATAGCCAAGCGGCATCGTTGGATGCATGGGGGCAATAAATCTAATTACCTGTGGGCCACAGGGCCAGGTAAGAGGGGAGGAAGTCCAACTATTGATCGACAAAGGACAATCATCAGAAGACGAAGGTCGCAACAGACAGACGTATGCCTAAAGTCCTCCGGGAGGTATAACTCCTCTGTGTGCCAGATTTACGGTTACCTTATTTTATTTTATTTTTTCTTTTCATCTTTTTTCAAATTCTTTCAATTCACCTTCACTACCTACCTACCACTGCTCCCACGGCGAACATAGCTTTGTTGTCTCCCTCCAGCTATCAGAGGGGATGCATGTTG